GTTCTGAGGAGGAAAGCTGGCTGATCTGTATCTGTCTGTTCCAGAGGTAAGAGGCCCTTGGAGCCAGGCCAATGCAAGAAGGCTGGCCCACCTGGTGCGTATTCCATGGCAATCATGAGGGCCTTGTCCTCTAGGAAGTTCTCATAGTACTCAATGACATTGGGGTGGTTGAGGAGCTTGAGGACCTGGCACTCATTTTGGGCTGCCTGCCGCTCTTCTTTGGTCATCTGCTCCACTGGGATCTGCTTGATGATCACCAGCTTCTGGTCAGCCTTGCGCAGGCACAGGTGCACAATCCTGGGGACACAGAGCACAGGGGTAGGTCCCAGCTGAGCCTCCAGCCACACATCAGGCAGGGCAGACCTGGTCACTGGATGTTCCTTAGAAGAGGGGAAATAGAGGGGCACCTGGGTGGCTCAGTCGTTAAGCATCTGCCTTCAGCTCAGGTCATGATCCCAGGGTCCTGGGATTGAGCCCCGCGTCGGGCTCCCTGCTCTGCGGGAAGCCTGCTTCTCCCTCTCCCACTCCCCCTGCTTGTGTTCCCTCTCTCGCTGTCTCTCTCTCTCTGTCAAATAAAATCTTTAAAAAAAAAAGAAGAGGGGAAATAGGCACAGAGACTAAGAGGTCAGCTAACTAAATGTGCAGAACACTGAGTTTAAGAACAGGGAGAACGGGGCGCCTGGGTGGCTCAGTCATTAAGCGTCTGCCTTCGGCTCAGGTCATGATCCCAGGGTCCTGGGATCGAGCCCCGCATCGGGCTCTCTGCTCAGCGGGGAGCCTGCTTCTCCCTCTCCTACTCTGCCTGCTTGTGTTCCCTCTCTCACTGTCTCTCTCTGTCAAATAAATAAATAAAATCTTAAAAAAAAAAAAAAAAGAACAGGGAGAACTAACCACAAACACTGTGTGAGACCTTGTGTGTGAGACCTTGGGCAAGTCATTTAACCTGAGGCACAGTGAAGTTAGTCTTGATCTTCCTAAGTCCCCATAGACTTTGGAGTTAACTGCCTGGGTTCAAATTCTGGCTCCTCCTCTTACTACTTACCTGGTTTGGGATTATATGACATTTTCATCTGGAAAACAGAATCAATTTCCCTGGGTTGTTGAGAGGATCAAATGAGAAAATGCATGTAAGGCACTTAGCATGGTGCTTGGCACATAAAAACTGCTCTATGCGTGGAAGCTGGTCATACTATTATTTTCTTTTCTTTTTCTTTTATTTATTTATTTATTTTATATTTTATTTATTTGACAGCGAGAGACACAGCAAGAGAGGGAACACAAGCAGGGAGAGTGGGAGGGGGAGAAGCAGGCTTCCCGCGGAGCAGGGAGCCCAATGCGGGACTCGATCCCAGGACCCTGGTTTCATGACCTGAGCGGAAGGCAGCTGCCTAACCAACTGAGCCCCCAGGCATCCTGCATCCTAAATTTTTAAGAAATTCAAAATAAAACTTTTGATTTCTGCCCCCAAACCCTTTCCTTCCTCAGTCTCTTCCATCTCAGTTACTGACACCACCATTAAAGTCAGACATCTGAAAATCATGCCAAAATCTTTCCTTCATTTCACACTAACATATCATCAGTAAATCCTGTTTCCACCTCCAACATATTATGAACTCAACCATCTCTGACCTCTGCTATAACCCTTGACCAAATCATTATTTCTTGCCTAAAGTACTGCAATAGCCTTTAAAATGGTGCCTTTCACTTCTGTCATCCTCAAATCTAAGTTCCACACAGCAGCCAGAGTGACATTTTAAAAATGCAAATCATATCAAGACCATTCATTCTGCTTAAACCCCTTCCCTTTTACACTTCAAATAAATTCAACCTCTTTACCTCAGCCTATTAGGCCATCATCTGTCCTCTGTGACAATCACATTTTATACCATTCCTCATATATATATGTGTGTATATATACACAGATATACACACATATATATATCATTCTTTACCTACTACATACTACATGACCACTACATTCCAACTTCACCAGTCTTTTTCTCAGTTCCTTGAATACTCTGAATTCTTTCTTTCCCGCGTGCGGATATGCTGCTTCCTCTGCCTGGAAAGCTCTGCCTTCACCTTCGGGTTTCTGGTTTTCATTCCTCAAGTCTTGGCTTTAAACTTCACCTCTCAGAGAAATTTTCCTTGACCCCCTCCCCAAATAAGTACCCCCGGTGTATGCCACGCTCGCAGCTTGTTAATAACTGCTTTAATATCTTGTTTATTGTATTATTTTACTACAGTCTGTAAGCTCCGAGAGGGAAAAGACCACGCCTATTTTGGTCTTTACTGTACAGTCGGCGCCGAGAGCCTGACCGGTATAGTTGGCGCTCAATCTTTGTTGAATGAATGAGTCAGGAATCAAAGAACGCAACTCTCAGGGGGCGCACAGGCTTGTCGGGGGCGGGACCTCGTTAGAGGCGGAGTCTCCCAGCTGGGCCCGGGACCGGAAGCCTGGGCGGGGCTTTCCGAGCGGGCGCTCACGCGTCGGGGCGCGGCTACCAGGGGAGCGAATTCGCGGTCAGAGTTGGGGCTCATTTTCCCTCTCCCCGACCAGTTTCCTTCCCCAGATCCCTGGCTCACCCGAAGGCACCTCTCCCCACCACTCGGATCCGCTCGTACTTCTCCATCTCATTTCTGAGTCACATTTCCGGAACCCCCCACACCCAGGCGCGGCGCGTGCGCGGACCCGCCCACTCTATGGTCACGCCCCCTACGCTGCAAGATAATGGCGGGGCGGAGCAAGGGAGATTGGTGCGGGTTTCAGCTCTGCGTCTATCTTGGGCTGTTTACCCAGTCCTTGCAGCCCCCGGCCACAGTTGCTTTTTCAGAGTCCCAGAAATGGGGTTTTATGCCAGTTCTTGGCGCGCTTGGCAGGTAGAACGGTACCAGCCATTCCCTACACACGTGTTCGCATCCGGCCCTCACAAAACTTCCTTAGAGCGGAGGGGTGCCCTGCACAACTCGTGAGGGTGAAAAGCAAGGGCCAATCTCTCTCAGCCCACTTTAAAGATTTTATTTATTTGAGACAGAGAGAGAGAGAGCAGGAGAGGGGGGAGAGGAAGAGGCAGAGGGAGAAGCAGATTCCCCGCTGAGCGGGGAGCCCCAGCGGGGCTCCACCCCGGGACCCTGAGATCATGTCCTGAGCCGAAGGCAGGCGCCCCTCTCCCCCCGACTTCTTTGCGCACTAGTGACACTATTTGGGAAGGAGAGAGCGCATTCTCATTGGCACGCAAATGATAAACAGCCAAAACTGTACCGAGAGTGTCAGCACTCTCGGTCTGTGAGGCAGGGAGCAGGGTTAGTTTCGTGTTTGCCTAGGGAGGGACCGGGGAAACACCAAGCCGTGCACATGGATTCACCTAGGGAGGAGGAGACTCCAGGCTGTCCCAACAAGTGAGCACCGCTCTCGTCATCACTCCCCCCCCCGCCCCGCCCTGCACACACACAACTTTGCCGCAGGTAATCCGTCTTCAACGCTCAACTATAGGGAGAATCTCCTTTGGGGATTAGATGAGAGGGAAGTGGACCACTATCTGTAAGCATCAGAGAGAGGAGGAAGGAGAGCTGTTTGACCGATGTGGGTTCAAGGCTTCTGCCTAAACGTAGGGGGCTGGTTAGTACGATTGTCTAGGGTTTTGACCGGAAGTGAGTTTAATTCCTGTTGTCTCCCTGTGCCTCCTGCTCTGTGTGAGCTCCATAAAAGCTCAGTTAAGGAGCGAGAGGATGGTGATTAGCAAAGAGACAGCGTCCCTATTTCTGAGCGAGTGAGGAAAGGAGTGTTGTTCTGTCCCGCCCCACCACTCAAAAGGGTACTCAAACCTGCCCACGTGGAAAGACCACTAGAGGGGCCCCACGAGGGGCCCTCGGTCGCTGGCTCAGGCTTTTGTTGGCTGATGAACAAAGCTGCCCTGTGAGCAAAGGGAAGCGCAGAGGGGAAAAGCCACACAACTCGGGACACTCGTGCTCTCACCTGGAAACCAATCGGGCCGTGGTTGACCCAGGAGCCCCACAGGGGTTAATATGTAACCTTGGAACCATCAAGGGAGGCAAATACCCAAACCTCTTGGTCCCTCTAGCTTTCCCTCCCTCTCGCAGCATCTTTTCCCTAGCCCCGCCTCCCCGCTCCCCCCACTACCGTCCTCTCCTCTATCACCACCCCCAGCCTCGGGTCCTCAGCCTTTTCCCCTTTCGCACCTCGCGTGTTAGGAGGCGGGAGGGGATCCCGCGCCAAGATGGGGATAGGCTGACACCTAGTGACCACGAGCTGCAACTGCTCCAGGCCACTGTCCTGAAGAGTAAGGGTCACCCCAGCAGCCCGGGCAAATCCGCGGTCTTCCTCTTGCCAGCCTCCAGGGAGCCAGGAGAAGAGCTGGGACTGTCTGAGGGAGTACTGTGACAGCCGCTCGGCCCCAGCAGCCCAAGAGCGGGCTGGGAAGAAGGGTGATGGATTAGTCGACCCTTTCTAGGCACCAAGTCGATGCGGGGCGCCGTAGAAGCTGATAAACATGTCCGTCTCTGGCCTGAAGAAGCTAGAGATCCAGTGAAAGAACAGGGTATGGGCGGAGACCATTATCGAGGCGGGGCTCGGACCCCTCCCCAGGATCAGGGCTTAAAGGACGCGGGTGTGCGACGGGCCCCGCCCCGCTCTGCCCAGAAAGGAGTTGAGGGCGGAGAGAGAGGTCTCTCAGTACCCGCCCAGGCGGGGGAGCCGGTAGCCCTGGGGAAAGAGGGGACGCTGGTTAATGAGGCCAAGCGAGCGAGGCAGGACTCCGTCGGCAGTCGGGAGGCGCCAGCAAGGGGTGCCGCGGCGTCGGCGCCCCCCAGGAGAGCCCCTTTTCGCCCGAAGTCCGCGGGAACCAGGCGGGGCCCGGAGGCCCCCGGGAAATGGGGCTCTGGCCCTCGGTGCCGCGGAGGCGCCGGAGCGGCTGGGGGCGGGGGCAGAGGCCCGCGGGGAGGAGCCGGGAGGAGTGCAGGGGCCTAGAGGGCAACGCGAAAACTATGTGAGGCTGGCGGCCGGCGGGGAGGCGGCGGGTGTGGACTGGCCGGAGAAGAGCCCCGTTCCCGGAGCAGTCCGACGAGGCGGCTTAGGGGGCAGACAGACAGACTGCAGGGAGGGCCAGCATGCCCCCACTGCTGCACCCCGCCCTGCCGCTGCTCCTGGGCGCCACGCTGACCTTCCGGGCGCTCCGGCGCGCGCTCAGCCGCCTGCCCCTGCCCGCGCACGTGCGCGCCGACCCCCTGCGCACCTGGCGCTGGCACAACCTGCTCGTCTCCTTCGCGCACTCCATTGTGTCCGGGGTCTGGGCGCTGATGTGGTGAGTGAGGGACTGGGGGAGTGAAGGTGGGTGGCTGGGGGATCCCACGTTTCTCTCCGCATCACTCTCTGGCATGCTCAGACCTTGCAGTCTCACCTGATTCCGTTTGGAAAGCTCTCGAACTAGGAGTGGCAGAGGTCCCAGGGAGGGGGGGAAAGCTCATCTGGGAACCGGGAGACACCTGGGTTTCAGCCAAGCCTCTCCTCACTTTCCACAAAACCAATAGCGCGAGCCCAGATTCCCCGGGGACTGGGAGGGGTAATGGGGGAGTAGAGGGTCCTTGGGGATGCGGAGATGTTGAGAGACTGCCTGCCTTCTTCCCTCCCAGTCTGTGGCAGACCCCCGAGATGCTGGTGGAGATTGAGACGGCATGGTCGCTTTCTGGCTATTTGCTCGCTTGCTTCTCCGCAGGTAGGTCTTGCCCAGGAAATAAGTAGGTGCGGGAACAGGGAGCTTTTTGTTCAGTTCCTTTGACCTTTTCCCATCCCCCCGCTAGGGTATTTCATTCACGACACGGTGGACATCGTGGTTAGTCGTCAGACACGAGCTTCTTGGGAATACCTCGTTCATCACCTCATGGTAAATGAGAAGCAGGGGATGTGGTGTAGGCCTGGTGCTAGCAACCTGGTCTCAGCCCTTTCTGAACCTGGGAGGTGAAGACCGTCTTTCTTAAGCCCATTTCCAACCCGTGTCCTACATCTCATGCCAGGACACTGAAGGTTGGCGGTTTCTGTGCCCTTGGTGAGTTAATTTTTGAGGCCAGCAATCCGTGGACTTACCTATTACCTCCTTGAACAGACTGGAAACCCCACCCAGAACCAGAATCTGTGGGCATGGGTCAAAATGTAATCATGCTGAAATCCACCTTAAGCTATAATTCAGAAGGAAGCCAGTAAGGATGTATTTCCCAGCCGTCATTCCCACCAGCTTTCAGGAAAGCCATGGTATCTGGGTTCCCTAACACGTTATCTCCCTTGCCTTCTAGGCTCTGGGTGCCTTCTTTTCAGGCATCTTTTTGAACAGTTTTGTCGGCGGGGGAGTCCTAACGTTGCTGGTAGAGGTCAGCAACATCTTCCTCACCATCCGCATGATGATGAAGATAAACAATGCCCAGCATCTCCTCCTGTACCGGGTCAACAAGTATGTCAACTTGGTCATGTACTTTGTCTTCCGCCTGGCCCCTCAGGCCTACCTCACCCACTTCTTCCTGCGTTATTTGGGCCAGAGGACCCTGGGCACCTTTCTGCTGGGTAACCTGCTCATGCTGGACATCATGATCCTCATCTACTTTTCTCGCCTTCTCCGCTCAGACTTCTGCCCTGAGCGTGTCCCCAGCCAGCAACACAAAGACAAGTTTTTGACAGAGTGACAGGCCCAGAGCTTGCAACTTGTGGCCAGAAGAGCAAACATAGCCAAGAACAGCCTCACACATACGAGAATTAGCCTCAGGCCTGGGGCATCCTCTGCACCTACTATTGAAAATGCTAATGAAAGCACTCCTCTGAAGTCCTTGTCCTTTCTTGGGCAAGGGGTGAGGGAAGCAGACCAACCGGTTGGACATGGTAGTTGGGTGTGGGGACAGGTGCTATGAAAGCCAGCCAGTCCACACTGCCCTGAAGTGGATGCTAATGAGAACTTTGTGTACTGGTTTCCTACAAAGCCCCTTCCAGATAAAAGGAGGGATTCTTGTTTGTTCTCTTACCCCCATGATGGTGGCAAATTGTAGTTGTCCTAGGATGACGAACTCCAATCTGGTAACAAATACCTGAGCTCCCACTGCCAGGATTAACAAGCGTGGGGAAGTAATAATGCAGAGTGTTCCAACAGGGTAAGTAGACCAAAGTCTTGCCCAGCCCCTGTTAACTTAAGTGTGTGTATACCATAGTATGGCCTCCCCCAAAGCCCAACCAGAAATCAACGAAGAAACACAAATGGTGAAAAGATTTATATTTAGATTTAGCCAGCTGGACTCAGTTTAGATGATTCCAATCTGAAAAACAAAAGGGGAGCTTTGTTACTGGGAGCTGAAATGTGAAGATTAAGCTGGAATGTCATGGTTAAAAAGCAAAATGAGACGAGGGTAGAGCCTATTAAGGATAGGGGTGCAGTGAGTTCATCAGCAAAGGTCAGGTTTTGGTCACTAGCAGACACATCACTTAGACCCAGGTGGTAGATGAGTTCATAGCAAAGGAAACTTACTTTGTTGGCAACATCCAAAGCATCATAGTCAGGAGCCAGTCGAACATATGCCTTCTTCTCTCCATCAGGTCTAGGATAAAGGAAGTCTTAATTCCTCCTACCCTCACTGCCCCCAAGCCCTCCCTTTTCCCCCTAGTCTTTCTGGCACATCAGTGGTTCCTTTGTTCATGTCATTCTTTCCCAAATAGTGACTTTTCCATCATTTCCACAGGAGACTAGGGATGCCATCAAACCACAAATGAAGCCAACTCCCCTTTGTGGGGAACACCACAGAACATTTTAAGGCGTAAGTCCAGGTAATCTGACATAAGTGTGTCTTACTCTAAGGCCTGCCTGTCTAGAGGTGTACGGAATCAAGAAAATGAACACCAACACCATACATCAAGTCCTAGAGGCAGGAGGGCTAATGTGTCCTCAGAAGGCTGTTTGTTTATTAGATACAAAGGACTAGAATTACAGCAGAAGCTGTTCATTTCTTAAGGCTCACACCCTGTGAAACCTACTTCTGACTCCATGCAGGTTTCCTGGCTCCTGACCGAGGCCCTACTCACCTGATCAAGGTGTTGACCTTGGCCACGTCAATGTCATAGAGCTTCTTCACAGCCTGTTTGATCTGGTGCTTATTGGCCTTGACATCCACAATGAACACAAGCGTGTTGTTGTCTTCTATTTTCTTCATGGCTGACTCAGTAGTCAAGGGGAACTTGATGATGGCATAGTGATCAAGCCTGGGGAAGAGGCAAAATGGTATCGCCTGGGTCCGATAAAAGAAAGGATAGGCCCCCTTTTAGAGCCCAAAGCCAAAAGAGCCCAGGTGCATCAGACCATGAAGTAGCAATCATTTTTGTCAGACTTTGGTCGCTAAACAGTGTCATCATCTGCACCTTAAACTTCGGGACCTAGGAGCAGAAACCTGTGCACTTTCTTCCCCTTGAAGGGCTTTATCTTTTAAAAAATTTTATTTATTAGAGAGAGCACACAAGCGCACACGCAAGAGCAAGGTAAAGGGAAGAGGGAGAAGCGGACTCCCCACTGAGCAGGGAGCCTGCTGTGGGGCTCGATTCCAGGTCTCTGGGATCATGACCTGAGCCAAACAGACTGAAGTACTTGCATCGTACAAAGTGATTTAAAGATCATCTCTGAGTTCCAAACCCCCTTCATTCTTTGACTTCAACATTTTTTAAAAAAAAGATTTATTTGGGGCGCCTGGGTGGCTCAGTCGTTAAGCGTCTGCCTTCGGCTCAGGTCATGATCCTGGGGTCCTGGGATCGAGCCCCGCATCGGGCTTCCTGCTGGGCGGGAGGCCTGCTTCTCCCTCTCCCACTCCCCCTGCTTGTGTTCCCTCTCTCACTGTCTCTCTCTGTCAAATAAATAAATAAAATCTTTAAAAAAAAAAAATATTTATTTGACAAAGAGACAGCGAGAGAGGGAACACATGCAGGGGGAGTGGGAAAGGGAGAAGCAGGCTTCCTGCTGTGCAGGGAGCCGAAGACGCTTAACGACTGAGCCACCCAGGCGCCCCAACATTTTTAAAGATTTATTTGTCAGAAAAAGAGCACAAGCAAGGGGAGCTGCAGGCAGAGGGAGAAGCAGGCTCCCTGTCGAGCAAGGAGCCCGATGTGGGACTCGATCCCAGAACCCTGCGATCAAGACCTAACCGACTGAGCCACCCAGGCGTCCCTTGACTTCAACATTTTGAAGGGCAAACTTCTGGAAGAAATTTGAGACTTCAGAGGTTAAACAACTTACTTCAAAAGCATAAAGCTAGACTACAGAATCTTTTTTTTTAAGATTTTATTTATTTGACAGAGAGACTGAGAGAGAGAGCACATGAGAGGGGGGAGGGTCAGAGGGAGAAGCAGACTCCCTGCCGAGCAGGGAGCCCGATGCGGGACTCGATCCCGCGACTCCAGGATCATGACCTGAGCCGAAGGCAGTCGCTTAACCGACTGAACCACCCAGGCGCCCTAGACTACAGAATCTTAAAACCCAGGGTAGAGTTCCAAAGAATGCTGGTGCTTCACTATGAGATTTAATAGACATTTCTGCCCCCATTGGTTGCTGAAAACTGGTTTTGAGGGCCACTGATTGAGAGCAACTTTTATTTACAGTTCAAATTAAACTTACAGTGGCTTGACCACACCCACCACGTAGCTTTCCCCCTGAAATTTAGAAAAACAAGTCTCTGTTCACGTGGACGCTACATGCCTATCTTAAAGCTAGACATCAGGTCTCAACCTCTCCTGACACTAAATCCCAGGTCCAAATGGGGGTAAAAAGTGGTTTCCTCCCTGGACACATCCCACTCTCCTTGTCTTTTTCTTAAGAAGCAGTGGGAAGTGGCAGTTACTACTATTGCTCTGATCTGTGGCCCCCCTTAGGTCGGTTTTATTACTACTAGTGTGGCACCAAAACACTCAAGACCCTAAACCTTTTGCCCATTTCCCCCTATTTCTTTGAGTGTAAAGACTTGAGAGTAAACAAGAAGAACCTTTTATACACTGTTGCAGGCCTTCTCTGTCCAATACATATTAATAAGTGTCCTTATCAATCTAGAATCATCCCACACTGTCGCCCTCAAGGACTATTCCCTACAGCAATAGGTGCAATGAATAACTAAACCTGAACTCCAAAACAAACAAAAAAAAAACCCAAACATTTAAACAAAGTACTACTTTACAACTCCAAGAAAGCAGAATTTAAAACCCTGACCATATATGAAGCAATTAACCTAACAATTAACCTTAATAGACACTGAGCTGTTTTAAACAATTCCTGCCAATGTTGTAAAAACATCTCTTGTTCTTAAATAGGGCATTAACAATCTTTTTCACACTCCCCTTAGAGACGCACACTAGGTACCAATATGTATTTGAGAAATCATGCTGTAGGTTTGGTAAATTTCCAAATTACCCAACATCTTTTCATGGGAAAGGACAGTACTGACTTGTTTCTCCTGGGGGCGCTCTTTCGAGGATATTTGGGCTGCCTCCGCAGACGCAGTGTCTTGGGTCGTCGGAATGTAGGTGACGTGCGGATCTTCTTTTTTTTGTGACTGTGGACGCCTTTCAGCACCGCTTTCTTGGCCTTCAAAGCCTTTGCTTTGGCTTCGGCTTTGGGAGGGGCAGGGGCTGAGAGAAAGAAAGAAAATGAGGGCACGGGACTCAGAAACCAATCACTTCCGTCCTCAAAACCCCTAACGGGCGCTCCACCCCACACGTGCATCAGTGGTTCCTTTGAAGACATCACAAGTCTCAGGTTAAAATTTTTCCATCATATGCACGATACCGGGGCGAACTCAGAGAGTAACTTCAGGAATACGACGAAGAAAAAAAGGAACTAGCAATGATTCAACGCTTGATACTTGACAAGATGTGTGCTAGTGGTTTTAGCTACCTATACAGCTCTAACACGAAAAAAAAAAAAAAAAGGAAAGAAACTAAGCTAAGAACTATAATTTTTTTTTAAAGGCTTATTTTTTATTAGAGAGAGAGTACAAACAGGGGGGGCGGCAGGCAGAGGGAGAGGGAGAAGCAGGCTCCCCACCGAGCAAGGAGCCCAATGCGGGGCTCGATTCCAGGACCCCGGGATCATGACCTGAGCCGAAGGCAGACGCTTAACCGTCTGAGCCACCCAGGCGCCCTGAGGACTCTAATTCTTTACAGGTCTGGAGACATGGAGCTCCGGCCTGTGGATGCGTATAGTTCCCCAAAGCCAACAGTCTGGCGGCCCCCAACAGGTGGTGCCGGCCGGGCTTGCCTCCCCAAACCTCCTCATAGGAACCGAGCCCATGCGGCCGGGCCCACGCGCATCGCAGCGTGCCGGAATGCGAGAAACAGCTCCGGAGTAGACACCCCAAGGCTTAGCCCAGCTCTCCTCCCAGTTCGTTCACTCCAAGGGGATCCCACGCCAGCTAGCTGTGGTACTCTCCCCAGCCCCAGCACAAACCTTCTTTCTTAGTCTTCGGCGCCATCTTCGTAAAAGGGATTTCCAAGGCTCGTTTCCAGGGGCTTATAGAGCAGAGTCTCACTGAAGACTCGCGATGTTTTTTATTTAAAGCTGATTGGATATCCTGTAGCGCGGCGCCCTCTGGGAATGGTAGTTAGGTTTTATTTCCTCGCGAGAGTGATTAAGCATGCTCCACCTCTTCCCTCAGAAGAATCTAAAGCTTCTTGGGGGTTGTAGGTTTTTTTGAGACACGTGTTTATTTGCTGCGGCTGGTGGATGTGGACGGTGTAGCTAGCTGCTGCTGGCAACTCGTCCTGAGCCCTTCCCATCTTGAGGAAAGAGTATTGCAGTTCCAGGAGACAGTAACACTGAAAACTGGACTGAGTATAATTAGGTTGACTCAGGGAGAGTGAAGCAAAGCTCTAGAATGTTAGAGCAGAAATTGTCTGGTCCAGGGGCGCCTGGGTGGCTCAGTCAGTTAAGCGCTATCTTTGGCTCAGGTCATGATTTCCGAGTTCTTGGATCGAGCCCTGCATCGGGCTCCCTCCCCAGCGGGGAGGCTGCTTTTCCCTCTTGCTCTGCCCTTTCCCCCACTTATGCTCGCTCGCTCTCTCAAAAAGAAAGAAAGAACTTTAGGGCGCCTGGGTGGCTCAGTCGTTAAGCGTCTGCCTTCAGCTCAGGTCATGATCCCGGGGTCCTGGGATCGAGTCCCACATCGG